TGCCTTTCCAATGTTTGATACACAATAGGTTCTTAACTTCCTGAGGACTCTGGATACCCCCCAAAAACCTTGAAAAAGTTGTATGTAGAGCCCAAATCTGAGTGTTCATAATTTCTGAATTACCAGAGCTGGTGGTCAGAAATATGGTATCAGTCCTGCTACAAACTGTTATGGCCTCAAAATAACTTCCTCTCCTGGAGCATATCTGCCCAAATAATTTTCATAACAGGTAGCATTTACCAAATATACTGTCCCATTTTGGTAATTTAAATGTAATAACTATTATATCTGGAAAGTAGCCTATAGCCAGTATTTTTTCGTTGATTTCATAGGGCAAGCTAATTATTTTTTTTTTTTAAGTATCTCTCCAAAATATTTTCACAGTACAAATTGAAGAAATATTGGAAAAAGCGATTCTTCCTGTCGACACTACCTCAGGTATYTAGCAGAAATATCCTTTCATCTCCAGGGGAGCTGGGTAGGGAGGCAGAAAGGGGCACCCAGGGTTTTATGGTCACTGCTGCCCTAATTTCCCAAGAAGATCACTTAAGACAATGTCTGAGAGGTTTGTTGTACTGCACATTCCCAGATTTGTTGAAGGCATTGTCTGCAGTTTGGGAAGCAGCAGCCATTTAAACATTTTCAATGTGTGAGGACACATTCAAAGAGTGAGGACAGCTGGGATTTACTGAGGAAGGACTTGTTCCAGGCCAGAGAACAAACTTTAGCCTTGCCTGTGCTGTCTCTGTCCCAGCTTGTCTGTTTTTCCACACCAACTCTGCCTATCCCCCGCTGCAAGATGCAATCAGTCCCATGGCTGGAGTTTGGCCAGAAGGCCGTGGCTAACGTTCCCACCCCATTTTTTATGCAAACTTGATTTATGGCTTTGATCTTACTTTAAATAATTTAAAAATTAAATAATTTATACCGTATCTGTCACTTTCCAAGGCTCCTTCCTTTGTTCTTGCKTTGCTCTTCTGCATTTTCCCATCTCCCTAACCCTTTTTTTTTGATCTGTGCACGTTTCCTTTCTGCCTGGTGAGGCATCACTGACATGAGACAGGCACTAAATACTCCTTGCCCCTTTTTTCACAGAAAAGACCTGTAGCAACTGCAGCTTATTTGTGCCAGGACTGTGCTGCCGCCATTCACAGACGGTTTTGATTTTCACTGCTGGTGATTTTGGGCTTGGCTACCCTGAGAAGGTGTGCTGTGCTGCTCCGAGGTGGAGAGTGTGCCTGCAGGTTTTTCCTGGGCTGGCAGCAATTCAGAGTTGCTGTCAGGTGGCATCACTCTCCTTCTGTCCAGGCTGAGCYCAGATCTGTGCCTCAGCCTGGCCCTGGACTACAGAAACAGCTATGGATACCCAGCTGATGTAGATCCACAGTAACCTGACAACAAAAAGGGCTGGTGCCCTGTACAGGTGTGAAATGAAATAAATAATTGCTCCATAAAAGGGGAGCTCAAGTGGGTACGGGAAGATTTTGCTGAAGAGAAAAAAACCTAAAACAATCAAAAAACCCACTCTGAAACAAATTAGAGTAGGGGCTCTGGGAGCTTTAGGAAGCCATGAAATCTGACTTGYCTCGAGCTGCATACAAAAGAGGTGAGGCAGGTCTGATGTGACTTTCTGTGTCACTGAAACAGCGCTCAGGGTTGGTGCCAAGCTTTGTCTGCTCTGCTCGAAGGTGGCATGTGAGGAGGGCATGGAAAACCTCATACAGTGGAGAACTCCCTTTGCTTCCTCCTATTTTTTACCTCTGTGTCTGAGGCCAGATGGCTGCTGGAGCCCAAGATTGGTTTTTTGGCTGATACGAGGCCGTTGCTGCTATCAAGGTTAAAGTTGTTTAAGCTGAGGCCGAGGGGCTGGCAGAGTGGCCACTTGTGCTGAGCTGTAAGGAAGGGAACGTGCAGAGGAGCTGGGGCCACCCAAATCTGTCCTGATGGCCACACTTAAGGTTATCTGTCAAACCTTGATGGACTGGGGCCCTCACTGCCTCTCCTCGACACTACTGCTGGGTTGGTTCACTGCCCACCAGTGAATCCATCAGCCACACCATGGGGGTTTCTGCTGCACTGGCCACAAAAAGCTGCATTGAGACCTTTTTTGGGAGCTAATCCAGTCACAGCCATGTGCAAGATGCTTCTCTGGGGGAAATACAGCGAGAAACTGCAGCAACGGGGACTTGAGCAACCTCCTCCTTGGGGAAAGACCATTAGAAACTATTGAAAAACCACTGTCATGGGGTTGCTTGGRAATTCTTTTATAGAGACATCAGTCAGGTTTGGACTGCCAGGGGATACTGGGAGGACAGTCTATGAGTGCGAACCACAGAGCCTGCTGTCCCTGCTATTAAGCACTTAGGCACTTCTCACACTAATGTTACTGCCACACCACTCTGAGAAACCTCATGGAGACACAGTGCGAGAGAGACACATGTCCCTGAGGGAGAAGAGAAAATAAATAAATCTGATCATCAGGTTTATTTGTACATGGGGAAACAAGATCAGGGGTCAAGCAATTGGACCAATGTCACGAGAGCTGCTGTTGGCAGTGGCATCACCCGTCATGACAGTCCTGCTCCTGATATTTCACCTTCCCTCCTCTCGACTTGCATTAGCTCTTCGACTTCAGGCTGAACAAAAGTGCTGTCTCCCTTTCCCTCTCCCCTATCGATTCCTCCATCTCCTGCTGGCATTTGCGAGGTGCCAATCACGGGGATATCTGAGAGCCAGCAGTCCGAGGTGGATTAATGGGGACCGAGGGAACRTCACTGAGCGCCGGCGCTGCCTCCCTTCCCTTTCATGTGAGACTGTGAGATGGAGCAGATAGGGAGGCTGATTGAGAGACAGCATCTGAGCACGCTCTGGGTGTACAGGCGCCACGCAGAAATGTGATCCCATCATTTAGACAGCTCTGAAGTCCCCAGGGTAATTGGTGTCACCAGCTTGTCATAGCCAATGGGTCAAGATCTAAAACTTATTCTTTCCCCCTTATTAGCATATTTATCAGAAAACCAAAAAAAAAAAAAAAAAATAGTATGGGCCCAATTCTGCTTTCACAAAAATCAACATGAAAAACGTTCATTTGTTTCAAGCAGATCGGAGAAGACCAGAAATTGATTTTACTCTTTCTTCTGCCACAAATCCTCACTTCCCCTCATAATGCACCTGTATTATCTGGTGAGAAACAGAGGAAACTTTTGTGGTGTAAAGGTGCAGACTACATTCTCTCATACCAGTATGAGCCTTTTTTAGAAATTAGAAGAGTTACTCTAGATTAAAAATAATTCAGGAAGAATTTTTGGACCAGAACATCACGACTGTGCTGTCTGTACCRTCCCTCCAGCCGCCAGGGTCTGCAGAGTAACACTGAAGTAATTTCTTCTGCCTGACAACCTCTGCAAATGTTTGACCCAAGATGTGCGTGGRTTACCTCCTGTTAATGCCTCTGGTACCTGGGGAAAAAGAAGCTGCATCCCTCTGCCAGGCTGCTGGCCACTGACCTGGGCTCATCTGGGATTTGCTGTCTCTTTTCCCCTTCCCGCAGCCCTCCCTGGCCTAGAGGAAAGTTAAACACAGCCAGGCTGGGGAGGGAATAGATCTTCTCTCATTTGAGGAAAGGATCAGAGGACAAGGGAGGAGACAGAGACTGGCTTTGACTAGGAATGAAAATAAAGATAGCAAAATGGAAGTAAAAATATAATTTTTTTTTAGAGGAGGGAGAATAAAAAAGTCCAGAATAGCACCAAGAGGTGCAGCTGGAAGGAGAGGAGGACCTTGTGTGAAGTTCAGCACACCCTCACAACTGCATGGCTCACACACAGGGTATCACAGGGTATCACACACAACTGCATGGCTCACACACAGGTTATCACACACAAATGTTCAGTGAGGCACAGGGCCATCAGAGAAGAACAGAAATTTCAAGACCTTCAAGTTAAGAACATGAGAGTGTGATGGGAAGTACACGGTGTTAACACATGAGAAAGAAAAGGTCAGGGAAGAAAGCAAAACCTTACGGGCAAGGCACTGGAAGGAGTATTGGCACACCAGAGTGTGATTCCTGAGGTAAGACTTTCATCTCTCCTTCAGGAAGATGGAGAAATGTGTCCACACTACTTCCTCCTGTGCCTGAACTGTGCAGAATACAAGAGGACCACAATTTTGCCCTGTGTACCAGGTCACTGCCTGAAAATCTGCTCCTGAGAAGGCAGCCAAAGTCAGTATTGTGCCTGTGTGCTGTAGACATCACCTCCACCTCCCTTCAAAATATCTGGCAGAGCATCCAAGTTACCCGAACCTCATCTTGTCTTGCAGATCCTTGCTAATTGTAGCCTAAGAATAAGAACAAGTGATGCTAGAGGCATCCATTTCAGGGCATCATCAAGAGCTCTGTGAATTCACACCTTCTCAGGGTCCAGCTTTGGTATTTACACAGGAATCTGAAGTCAGTACATCAGTATTTTTTCTCAGTGTGCTTCAGTCATACTGTTTGGGGCATCAGGACTGTGTGGGTATCTTTTCTCCATTTTATTGTTACCTGTCATGCTTTCGTGAACTTAAMAGCATTTCTGTCAACAGCTGCAGTTTTATTCTGTGTTCACTCCAAAGGCACCCACAGCCATGCAAGGTGCAGCAGGGACATGGTGACATGGGCAGAGAACTGGCATAAACTAAGAATTTTCACATCTGAAATTTATGGGAATCACTAAAACTGATTCTTTTATCCAAATCCTCAGACAGTTGTGCTTTATTTGACAAAAATGGCTTAACCCCCACAGAAAGTGTTCTGCACGGGTACACGCATGACTTTGAGACCCCTGGGAGATTTCCTCTCCTCTACCCCTGGAGTTTTACTCCCATCATGTTATGAGTTTAACAGATAAACCACCGCTCCCTCTTCTGCTCAGGCTTTTTGTCCAATCCCAGATGTTTTTGTGCCCTTCCAGGCCATCCTCCCCTCCATGAACATGCAGAGAGATGGGGTCTATACTTACTGCCTGTGCATAGGCTCCGTAGGCTCCGAACTGGATGGCCATGGGGTTGAACATGCCCATTTGTCCGGCCATTTGCTGCATGCGCCGCATCGTACGCTCCTTGTCCGTGTCCGCAAACTTCACCACCAGGCTCGAAGAGGCTCCCTGCAGCACAGGAAACAAAAGGAGACACACAGGGAATGAGYCTGGTGTGCAGCATCCCATCAATCCATACATCTAATACAGATGTGCTGATTATTCCCATGCAACGCATCAGGGTGTTGATTTTGACCCTTGCTGAGAGCATCGGGAAGTAAAGGACCCTGGAGGGTGGATGCCAGCAGCCTGGTTCCTGGTTTCCCCCAAAATTTAAGCTTCTAGGCTGTCATTTGTGTCCTTTCAGCAAAATTGTTGCCTTATACTTTCAACCTTCAGTCCAGAACCATGACAATGATCYGGATTCAGTGCAGCAAAATAGGAGGCTTTGCTGGGTGAATGTGGTGGGATTTGTGGAGGATTTGTTTTGGTGGGTTGTGTGAGGTCTCTGCATTCCAGACCCTTCAACTGGATACCTTTTCTCAGTGTTTTGTCTTGTAATCCCCAAATCCAGTGAAAAATCCCTGCCCAGCCTTGGAGACAGGAGCCAGTGTGSTGGGCAGGGTGTCTCATCATGCAACAGCATCTCAGAGAACTGCCACATKAAAGGGGTAAAAATAGGACGGTCTGGACCCGAGCCCCCTCTTCATGATCAGGAGGAAATAGAGGCTAACACGAAAGAGCCCACACATTTCCAGGAAAGATTTACAACATTAGGATTATGTCTGCGCAGAACTACAGATGATCATCAGAGATGCCTTCAGAAATCTGTGAAAAATGTAGTGCTTTTGGGAATGAAAGAAATCCCTCTCCTTCCCAAAATCAGATGAAAGACCACTAGCTGCAAGCCTTAAATTTCTGATAGGAGGCAGAGATGGGAAGAAATAGATCTGCTTAGGAAGGAAGGCTCTGGTACTTTTTGGTCTGTCTCCAAGGAAGCCCTAACATCATGGATTGGTTGATTCCCCACAGGGCGGCCTCCCCAGGGACAGCAGAGAAGGGAAAGGACAATCTGGCTGCAGCCCTGACAGCAGTGGACAGTTGCCTCGGGAGCTGGGCTGCCTCCCAGCCTGGGGAGAAGGGCAGGTGAGCTGTCAGGAGACTGACAAGGAGCAGCTGAAATAATTTCACTCCCATGGCTTCCCTTGAGACAAACTGGGATTCACCGGTGGAAATACAGTCAGMGGGGAAATCACCAGCTCAGCCTCTGGCTGTGGCAGGAGAGGAAGATCAGCTCCATGCCAGAGGAGCTGGGATGCTGCAGGACCCTCATTTTTCTTGCAGAGGTGGTTTTCTGGGATTGCACAAGAAGAATATTGTTAATTGGCTTACACACACCCCTAAGTACCTGTGACCAGAAGAAACAGTCTCAGTGAAAGCAGAATTGCTCTGCTACAAATTGGGAAGAGTGTAGTAAACCACGTATGTGTAAGTCTAAGCCATACATATTAATATCCTCCTCAGATCCTCAGTTATGAATGAAGGCTTGAGGAATTAACCTGCTAAAAAAAGATCCCAACAATCTAACACCACACAATGAGCGATGCTCCCCTGGATTAGCAGTTTGTTCTGGTAGAAAGTGATTTTCATCGGCAAAGAATCTTTCTTTCTGACCTGTTAGTCTCTCTCTAATAAATCTATAACCCATTCACACAATGTGGTGAAGAGCAAGGGTTTGAAAGAAGTGCTTCAGGAAAACAAAGGGACRCAGAGATGAATGCTCCATTCAAAGATGGAGAGCAATCTTCAGCAGTTATTATAAAACCAAAACAGAAGGGGGAGTGGAGGAGAGGAGAGAAAAAAAAACTGTAGCCAAAATTCCCCTGCATTTCTGTTGAAGGCTGGGTGACTTTTAATTTTTCTTTAGATCACATGATGCAGATATTGATCCTTCCCCAAATCACACTCTTAATTGCAGCTCATCGACAAATGAATATTTTAATGCATACATTTCCTGCTAATTATCACCTGGACCAGTTCTTAATTAGATTTCAACACTCATTTAATTAACCCTGATCCAAGAGACTGTTTGGTAACTTGAATTTAATGATTTAAACCTATTTGCAGCTGTATTGGAGGGAGGCACTGGTCCACAGCAGATTGGGCTGCTCAGAGCCGCTGCTGTGATTTGCAGAGCAGGGGCTGCATCATGATGGGCACAATGCAGATAGAGGATTTTGAAACTGAGTAAGGTGAGTGTGTGTTCATCTCTGCAAAAGGGGTTTTCAAGATGTGACCTGCTGCTGCTGGCACGACAGAGAAGTGTAAATAAGTTGTTGCCTTCTTCCTTCCCCTTGTCTTTCTGTCTCTATTTCCCCTGGAAGTCTTAGGGCCAGAGAACTGCCTCAGGCATTTGCTGATGCCTCACAGTGTTGAAAACCAAGCTATTATTGTAGATGGCATCATGAAAACATGGGCAGCTTCCACATGAAGTGCTCGSCCCCGGAGTGCTCTTCCCTTCTGATGTGAGTCACAGTGACTGCGCAGCAGCTGCTTTGACCCAACGGGATCTCGTGTTGCCTCCTAAGAGATGTTTTTCTGGGTTGCCTGTCGCAGCAGGACTTGGGGCCTCTTTGAACATTGCTATCATACACACGGGGCAGAAAGGCCACTGGCAAATAGATGCAAGCTAGAACACACRCCACAAAGAAAGAGGAGAAAAAGAAGGGTTTGTTTTTTAAAGAGTGCTCTGCAATGAGATGTGCATGTAAGCGGTTAAAGATGTGTAGCCAGCAGAGATGCTGCATTGCTCTTGAATATGAAGATTGACCTTGGGATTGATGCTTTCAGTATGTGGTTCCTCATGTGCAGCTCTTTCATGTGGCCCAAAGGAAATCAGGCAGTAAACTGTTATCAGATCAGCCAGGGCAGGACTTTCGGCAGTGGAACCAAATATTGCTGTCCACACCCAGCAGAACAAGGCTACTTTCTACTCCAGAGATTTCTACTAATCCACTGGATAACAACAGAAATGCCCCAGAACGGGTCAGATTTTCCATGGGGTGAAAATGCTGCATTCCTCCACCTAGATTATTTATTGCTTCCGCGAGGAGTTAAACCGTGGTGTAAATCAGCTGTTGTCTGCTGACAAAGGCAATAGGTCCTGTCTGCTCTGTCATTTACTAGCAATACATAATCTCCTTGCTCTCTGGTTGTTGGACTGGACCTCATATTTTGCCAAACCCCAAGAGAGTTACGCTGGGTAAGTCAATAACGTTTGAAATGTACTTCTGCATTTCACYGAGGAAAGGACCTGGGTTTGTTCTCTACCCTGTTTATTCCTCCAYCCTGCAGAGCCACACTCAGAAGAGGCTATCATGAAAGTGAGCGTTTCCTGCTGGTGCCTCTGCAATAGGCAGCCTGGAATCAGAATTTATCTCTTTCCCCATCAAATCAACCTCCTTTTTCAAGTGCTTTGATATCTGCTGATGAAAAGAATGATAAGGGCTAAGTATTATCATGCTTTCCCTATTCCCTCTTGGGCCAGCAAGTCTACTTAATATGACTATCTTGCTTCCCATCCCCCTCCCACACATGGTAATGAATTGCTCCCCTTAGTCAGCAGAGTCAGGTACTCTCTAGGCTGGCGGGGCGAGGCAAAAGATGGAGGAAAAATCACTCTGCGCCACACTCACTTTGTAATCCCTAATCAGAGTCCTCTGTGGGAAAAACTAATTTCCCAGCCTGTCTTGACGTGTGAAATAAAGTCATTCTTGAAAACAGGAGCTTGACAGGTCGCTTGTGAAATTTCATATTCAGCTAAAAATAAAATATCCATCCATTGATATTTCATTTAAAGGCAAAGGAAAACAAATCTATTGCCTGGTTGTTGGAACTTTTTCCCATTAGATACGATCTTCCAAATGGAGTGTATACACAAATTAAGTAAAAGCTTTTCAGGAGGTCGAACATTACTGCCCGGCATCGGGGAAGGTTCATGGAATCACAGAATCAACTAGGATAAAAAAGACCTTTGAGATCATYRAGTCCAGCCTATGACCCAACAACAACTTGTAGACCAGACCATGTAACTGAGTGCTGCCTTCAGTCTTTGCTTAAACACCTCAAGGGACAGCGACCCCACCACCTCCCTGAAAAATGCTTTTCAATATCTAATCACCCTTTTTGTAAAGAAATTCCTCCTGATAACCAACCTAAACCTCTCCTGCAGCAGTTTAAGTCTCTGTCTTCTCATCCTACTGCCTGGGAGAAGAAACTGACCCTCCTGTGGCCACAGCTCCCTGMCAGGGAGTTGTTGAGAATTATGTAGAGGTTTCCCCTGACCCTCCTCTTCTCCAGGCTAAACACCCCCAGCTGCCCCTCACAGGACTGATGTTACCCATCACCAATTTTGTTGCCCCTTTCTGAACACATKCCAGGARCTCAATATCATTCCTAAATYGAGGGACCCAGAACTGCTCACAGTATTTAAGGCGTGGCCCCACCAGTGCTGAGTGCAGTGGAAGAATGACTTTCCTGTTCCTGCYGGCCATACTATTCCCTGTCCAGGCCAGGATGCCACTGCCCTTCTTGAGCAGGTGGGCACACTGCTGGCTCACGTTCAGTCAGCTGTTGAACAGCATCCTCAGGACCCTTTCTGCCTGGTCCAGCCACTATGCCCAGCCTGCAGTGCTGCAGGGGGTTGTTGTGGCCAAAGTTCAGGACCCAAGGCCCCACCCATTGCTGGACTCAGCCCATCCATCCAGCCTGTCCAGGTCCCCCTGCAGAGCAYTCCTACCCTTTGACACTTCCCCACAACTTGGTGTCAGCTGCAAATTTGCTGATGGTGGACTCAGTATCATCAATAAAGACATGAAACAGGACTGGCCCCAGCACTGATCCCTGGGGGACACGACTAGTGAGCTGGGTGCCAACTGGTGCAGCATCATTCACCACCACGCTCCTGGCCTGGCCATCCAGACAATTCTTCACATTTTGTTAGCTCAAATGGAGCTAGATAAAAGTTCTGGGCCAAAAATATGTAAAAAAAACTTTGTTACATTAAAGTTCAGTGAATGAAACTCTTGGGTATAAGAAATCTGAATGTGTGGAACCTATAACATCCCTTC